CCGACTGCGCCCCGTCTCCAACGGCGCCCCCTCCCCCCACACGTCTCCGACTGCGCCCCACTCTCGTCTACGTTGATTGATGAGGTAGGTAGTAAGGAAATGGGTTTTAGTTTATTTAATATATTATTAATTTTAATATTATATACATGTTTTTAAAAATTAAACTACCAAACACAATTTCAGTTTTTTTAAAATTGAAAACAATCTCAGAATAAAACTACCAAACGCATTTTCAGAAATGATTCCAAAATGAAAATAAAAACGTTTTTGTTTTCATTTTCATACAAAAAACAAAAACGTTTTGGAACCAATTCCAAACGCACCCTTTGTTTCTTTACTAGTTTTATAAAGTGCATCGTACTTATTATCGTGTTAAAAACACTAATGTGTTTATTATTTATTAAATTATAAGAAATTTATTTATATAACTATTTAAACAAATTTAAATTTATTTTAAAAAAAAATATGTGTAAAGATAATAATTGATAGAAAAATAATAAATAGGGACACATGTGAAAAACTATTTTAACCAACTAAAAATAAAATCAGAATATATGTGAAAAAATTACTCTCATAAGAGTAAAGTGAAGAACAACATAAAAAATTAAAATGTAAAAAAAGCACAAAAAATTAAAGATAAAAAAAATTAAGTGGAGAGGCGGTCACGTAACAGCCTCTTAAAAAAGAACCTTGGCTCTTTTATGGATAGTTAGATTAACGTAAAAAATTAAACTCTAAAAAAAATTCACAAAACAATAAAAAAGTAAAATATTTAAAAGATAAAAAGAATAAAGATAAAAAAATAAAGAAGGAAAAAAGAAAGCCAAAAAATGAGGGAGGATGAGAGGCTGCCGTGTGGTAATCTCATAGAAAAGTACTATTACATGAGATTCGGCTCTTTTATGTATTGTAAAAAAAAAGCACAAAAAAATAAAGATAAAAAAAGTAAAAAAATAATAATAATAAGTAAAGAGGCTGTCACATGATAATCCATCAAAAAAGTGTTTATTCTTTTTTTATATTGTTAGATTAACGTAAAAAATTAAACTTTAAAAAAATGTTCAAAAAAATAAAAAAGTAAATATTTATAAGATTAGAAAAAAAGACCAAAAGTAGATGAATAGGAGAGTCCGCCACAATTTAATAAAAAAAATACTATTATAAAAATTTTTAACTTTTTTATGTATTATGTATTGTTAAATTAAGCTTGCCTCCTCTTTATTCGTAAGTATAATATTGTATATATATATATATATATATATTAAAACAAACATAAACGTATAATATTCTATATATAATTTTTTGAAAAAATCGTACAAAATTTATATTATATTTTTTATATTTTTCTTTTCTTTCGGCAGTCGTCGATTGTACTAAAACTACTCTATAGAATATTTGGTATGCTACCCAATTTACGCCTCTCGGGATATATATTTATTATTTGCTTATAATTGTTTAATTTTCCCTAGTTTATCCGCCTTTATAGAAAATGCTAACTTAACTCGCCAGTAGCCTTATCAAACTACTCACGTTGTCATTAATCTCTAAGAAGTGTTGTGTAATTTCTGATCACATACTCTAACTACTTAAATTACGGGAAAAACAGTTGTTAAAAGTTGCACAAACAGTGCTGTAGTTTTTTTTGCAAAAACGTTGTTAAAAGTTGCACAATAGACCACGATTTTTTACAAAATCTATCGTCTAATTTACACATTAGACGGCGGTTTTTTCAAAAAGAAAAACGGTACCCTAATATGCCTCTTCAAATTTTCATAGATATTCACGCGAATACGTATTAGACAATAGTTATAAACCGTCATCATATGTTTTAGACATTTAACGATTCTAAATACAACGATAGTTTATCAAACCGTCATCATAGCATTTGACGATGGCTTTTTAGCTATCGTTTTATCTCCTATATGTAGTAGTGTATTGAGTGAGAAGCATAGTAGAAGATGTTTGTTTTAGGGTTGTCAACCTATTTAGGGTGTCCTATGACAATACAATGCCTTAAATTATATTTTTCTTGTCATATGTTTGGTGGTTTTACAGTCTGAATGTTAGTTTACCAATCCAGCCCAAAAGCTTAAGCTGTTAGGAGGTGGGCCAACAATAGTTTTTATACTTTAACACTCCCCCTCACGTGTGGGCTAGACAATGGGCAATCGTGTGGGTAAATTAATTGGAAAGCCCAACACGTGAATATTTAAGCCCGAGATATATTAAAGACCCAACACATGACAATTTTTAAATGGGGATAAAGAGTGCAATTACGGAGGTTTGAACTCAGGACCTCCCGCTCTGATACCATGTTAGTTTACCAATCCAGCCCAAAAGCTTAAACTGTTAGAAGGTGGACCAACAATAATTTTTATACTTTAACACTGAAAAATGAAATCTTTTGGATATATATATATATATATAACATCATTTGTATGTACATATATAACTTTTTATATTCATGTGTTAATGTTTCATATATTGTACTATATATTCATGTATATTTATTGCTGATGTGTGTAACAATGATGTTACCTGTACATGCAATAAAATTATATTTATCAAACTGATCTAAATGACGGACTTAAAACAATTCCTATAACCGCCTTTTGATAAAACCTTAATTTTGTAAAATCAAGGGAAGAACTACAGCAAGGAAACGGACACATTAAATCAAAGGCTAGCTAGCGTAGCTAGATATATATGTGTGTGTGTATTTTTTTTTTTTTTTCCTTTTCTTTTTTTCTGGAAAGCCTCTACCGTTGATCTAATGGTTAAATCCTTCATACGAAAATGAACAAGTTGAACAATCTTCCATAACGAAAGTATCCTCCTTCAAGGAGAGAGCAAATTAAACTAGTTCATGCTTTGTTTCCTTTATCTAGAGAGAAGCAATAACCACACATGGGAAACAAAATAAATTTAACATCTAAAGGTTGAGTTCTTTAATATGCAAATCATCGAAAGAGGTATATTTGAAAAAGAAAGAATTTAATATATAATTCCGTTGTATCTAAACTACCTCGAGTATTGCAGAGACCCACAAGCGCCGGCCAGTCATGTTTAAACCGATGATGGTAGTGAGGGGTTGTGTACGAACCTTATACCAAAGCCAAACGTGATATGAAATAGTAATCAGAAAACCCAAAGGTATTAGTATCATGTCGAGGTAACATTTCCTCCATTCCATCTCTCTCTCTCTCTCTCTCTCTCTCTCTCTCTATCAATTCCCTCTCTGTATATGACAAAATGTTGAAGATGTATGGGAACATTTATTAGGGAAATGTGATTGCTTTCCTACCCTATAAATATCATTAGGTTGTTTGACAAATTTGTACCATTTGTATTTAGTCTATCCCTTTATTTAATTAGCCAAAATTTGACTAAATTAGGAATCTTACAAATTTATTACCACAATACGGACAACTTTCCACCACGTTTTTAAAAATCTATGACGTCGATCATCAAACCAAAGTCGAAGCCACCGACAACCTATATCCTAGTTTCGACGTTGCTCAAGATCTGATGTCGTAACTTTCAAGTTTGATTAAAAACTGATGTCGAAACGTTTTGACGTCGACCGAAATTTGAATATGCTATATGTACATAATTATTGTGATACGCATATTTGGTGTATCAGAGTCATCTCATGAATATGTTGTATACATAATTATTGTGATATTCTAGTTACTTTTGCGTGATATATATATATATATATATACACACATGTGTGTGTGATGTCAATCGCAAATGCACGATATCGCTAACAAGTAATAAAAAATGAGTTTAAAAGTATCGTTCCTATAAGGACAACATATTCATTAGGTACTAAAATTGGATAATTTTAATTTTATTTGAGTAATCAAAAAGATGAATTTTGATTAATTTTACAAAATTAAAATTTAAAACAACAACAAAATTTTAAAATAATAAAACAAAAAGAAAATTATTTTCTAACATGACAAGACAAGGATAAAACAATGATTATGAAAATGTTGGGAGTCATGATTTCATCAATACTAATCGAATTTAATTTATTTAAACATTACTGTGTTTCTAAGAACTAAATACGTCAACACAAGTATGACAATCACAATAACGTTTACACAAATTAAATCCTCATAATATAATAACGTCATTATCCCAACAAAAATTAAATTTAAAATATAATTATAATTAAACTAATATAGTACACAAAATTCAAATAACATTTTCATAACAACAATAATAAAAGCAGAGTTTTAGTACAAACACTAGTAATAGATAGAGTTTCTGATCTGCTTCATATATCTCTAACAGGACTCAGAACAACTCCTCAAGAATTCAAACTTAAAAACTAAAAATTACAAACTTTAAACTTAAACTAAGAATTACAAGCTTTTTTTTTTTTCCTTTTTCTTCCTCTGAAATCACCCTCAGAATCCAATATTTTGGACTTGATCTAGTGCGGCAAGGACTACGTGAAACCGAATTTCTATTGACCATCAAAAATAAACAAAGATTTCAAATTGATCCGGACTATTGATTTAATAAGCATGACACATGACGCAACCGGATTAGTAGAAGAGAGCAAGTTGACATAAACTGGCTCACACGAGATCAAACACAAGAAAAGATGCATTTCAATATGTGAGGTTCGCTGATATTTTCTTGTCTGCTCACTCTCTTCCCCCATAGAGTGTAATGCATTCTCCAATCCTGACCATCTAAGTACTTCGATCCAACAGATGTGATTCAAGCTGACAATAAATAAAAATAAATAGAAAATATTATATTTATATTATATACAAACCTATTGTAATATAATATATATTATTTATTTAGAATATTATTTAATTTTCATATATATATATATATACACACGCACACAATATAATATATTATATAAATATTTATTTATACAAATTAAAATAAAATAAATAAAAATCTAATAAAACAAAACATATTAAAAAACCAAAATAAATTAAAATTTCAAGAATTATGCCGATTTTTGCACAAAATTAGAAGTAAAATTTTTATGGATGAAAATGCCCCTAGGTCTAAAAACAAGTAAAATTTCAAATGACTTCCTAGATAAAAGCATATATAGGCTTAGTTCAAGGAAGTAATATTATATATCTAGCATAGTGGAGAAACGTTTTTGTTTGGAGTCTTTATAGATTTGACACCGATAAAAAGTTATCGCGACCGAAAGTTGAGTTAACCAAATTTTGACCGAGGGTAAAATGGTGAAAAGCAACCTTAGGCCCAGTTATGAGTTTTTATCCTTATGTTAAAATGAGCCTACTAGTAGAAACGCCAAAACTCGACCCTTGGTGCAAAAGAAGTCAATTTTTCTGACGTTAGGGGTAAAATTGTAATTTCCAGAAAAATGTGGGGGTGACCCTATAAGACGAGTCCAAAGCATTACCAAGGTATAAAAAGACGTGGACGTTAGTTTATGGATTCAAAATCATAATTCAGAAGCATTATCGGTTTATGTGTATTTTTGTGAGAGAAAACACTATAGCAAGCCACGAACCACGATACGAATCCTCATACCAAACACTTAGTAAGCCATAGTTAAAACCCTTAAGCCACCCAAAAAGCCATAGAGGTAAAACAATCATTTTGACAGTAACGGGATAAAATGGTCAAACGGACACCGAACCCTGAGTTTTAGCTCGAAGTCCCTGAAGGCAAAACGCTTAGGACAAAGATACCTTAGAACCTCCAAAACCCACTAAGGGTAAAATTGTAACTTTTCTAAAGGTCAAAATGACTGTGAGGGTGACCCTATAGGACGAGTCCAAAGCATTACCAAGGTATAAAATGACTTAGAAAGCCATGGTTAAAACCCTTAAGCCCCCCGAAAAGCCATAAAAGGTAAAACAATCATTTTGACAGTAACGGAATAAAATGGTCAAACGGACATCGAACCTTGAGTTTTAGCTCGAAGTCCTCAAAGGAAAAACGCTTAGGATAAAGAATACCTTAGAACCGCCAAAACCCACTAAGGGTAAAATTGTAACTTTTCTAAAGGTAAAACTGATCCTCGGGAACCGGATACCTGAAACTTAAATTAGAATTCCATGAGAGGCCAGTAACACACATAGTTCGATCCAAACATGACAAGGAGTCCGAATGGGTCCGAAAACTCACTAGGTGGCCATGTCAATACGTAAGCCCAACAAGTCTAACCCCAACCTTACAGATACCAAGAGTTGGGATAAGACCAAGAGTTTTAGGTGGGGTAACCTCTAAGTGACTCCTTAGTATACCATTGGAAAATTAACTTAGTTTCTAAGTCTTTAGGAAATTAGTGAAGCTCGATTAGCTAATTAATTAATATAGTTGATTACTTAATTAACTAATTAATGTTATAAGTATCGGATAAACCGAATCTATTTAGATAGTTGACGAAAAGTAGAAAGTAAAGTTAAGTTATTAATAAGTTAATGGAAATTTAATTAACATAACTTATCGAGGGAATTATTTAATTAATTGATTAAGTAAACCAATTAATGTAGAACCCAAGGACGGATAATTATTTAAGGATAATTAAACCCAAGTCGGTTAACAAGGGCCAAATAAAATTTATTAGTTAATCTGAAATGTAAAAAAAGGAATTAAGGGGAATGATAATTAACCTAATTAATTCTAATAAAGGTTTAAGGGGCTAAGTTTCCAAGACCTAAGCATAATAAATCATAAGATTTGATAATGAACTAATAGCCAAATTATCGGTACTGTTAAATATAGAGTAAACAACCTTACAGGAGTGGGCCGCTTTAGGTAAACACTAAGTATCGGCACCCAGGTGAGTACAAACCTCACTGACAGCATGAATTATTTTACTTGACAAACTTGCTTGCTTGATTGTGCTGCAATTATTCTTAGTAACGTGCTTGATTATGCGTTTACTATAGAATGCCTCTGATATGATCATAATCACATATTCACTTAAATAAGAGGCTATGGTAATGAGACTATATAAAGTGTCGTACCAGATCTCAGGAGTCTAATGGGCGGATAATTATCCTCAGACTTCTAATGCGAGATTTATAATAGATAAAAATTAATTGATGACCTTGGGTGTCATTGGACTAAATGTTTGGATCGCTCCTTTGATACTTTATTAGTCACGCGCGCTTGGCACGTGCACAAGGCCTAATGAAGATAAATGGACATTTCATAATTAACCATAAACAACCATACATCTCTATTTGTTAATGTTATGCTTTGAAAATGGTTTTGTGAGGATTATTTATACCCGCTGAACTATTGCTGTAGGTAAAAGGCCTACTTCACTTTGATGGACTTAGTGGCGGATGACTTGATCGATGGAGGATGGGTATGGATCATCATGCAGCTGTTTTCCGCACTTCACTCTAAGATGGTGTTTGAATATAATTATGTATTGATGATTTTGTGCATGACAACAATTTAAACATGCATTATTAAGTAGTATGATATTCACTATAGTCTGTATTCTTGTTATAGTATACTTAAGTACTTAATTAAACTTCTAATCGTTCCTCTTATGATACATAAGTATGAGTGATGATTTAAAGATGTTTTTTTTAAAAAAAAAAGTTCTAAAATTTTAGTACTTAAAAAAATAGTTTTCAAAATGTAAATAAGATTTTCTGCATAAATCATGACAAGTAACGGCTAATTATGTTAAGTAAAAGAGTGATTAAAAACTGTGTGTTTGCAATATTATGTGTTTTGGATATTCTAGTTCTAACTTATATTTATGATTCGTTTAAGTAAATATTGAAACATCGTGTTTGAAAAACAGTTTATTTTAAAATAAGTTTTCAATTTTCTTTTTAAAAATTGAAGTAATTATGCATTTGAGTATTTAAATAAAACGGTTTCTGCTATAAGCCATGGTTAGTAATGGTTCAAAAAACCGGATCATTACAGTTAGTATCAAAATAATATATTGTCATCTTACTTCATAGCGCTACGTTATAATTTACCTATTTTAAATAAAAATATCTTATAATTTAAAGAGAGAGGTGAAAAAAAACTTAAAAGATATATTTTTTTGTTTTTTTAATAATATTTAAAACTTAAAATATCAAATTATACTATAAACTATTTATTTTAAAAAATTATTTTGTTACAAGCTCCCTACCAAATATTCTATTTCTCTCATTTTCTTAAAAAAAAAAAAAAAAACCGCGGCACGCTGATCCCTCTCCCTCGGAGAGCCGCCGCAATCCGCCCCGCACCCAGCAGCAAGTCGTGAAGCCCACCGTGCATGCCGCCAACATCGTGAGATTCGTCGAGTCTGCCGCCACCGTCGATTTTGGCTTTTCCTTTTTGAAGATTTTCCTTTTTCCATTTTCCTGGCAAAAGAAGGGAAGTTATAGGTATTTATTCAGAATACGCCCATCCAAACACAAACTGCTCGTTTTCTATTGCATTTGAGTGGCTATACTCAGCATTGATGGAGTTTAAGAGGTTGTCGAACAACCTTTACGACGACATTAACAATACGACTAACAAAAGAAGAAGGGCTAACCGCAAAGAGGTAGTCAAACACGATTTCTTCTGTTCTTTTTCTTTTTCCTTCCAATTTGTATTTGTTTGCAAAATTAACAGAGTCAATGATGAATGTGAATATGCACTGGGCAGATTCTTGAGAAAAAGAAGGCAATTGGTGAAGTGATTAAGGTTGCTCTAGCAGAGAAGGACCCTCTTTCTTCTTTCCCTGCATTTCGCTGTTACCGCAGAGAAAGTAAGCTTCTAACCCTTTGTCAATTTCCATTTACGTGATAAAAAAAGCTTGGATGATTTTGTTAAATGTCATTACTAAGTTATAGTTTTGTACTCATTTAGGATAAGGGAGAAAATAAACACACTAGAGGATTGGGGGAAAACAATTTTACATAGAGTCAAATTAGCTGTTTTATATTTTGTGGGGCGTGCCTTTACGGGGTCTTCTAATTCTGTATTTACGTAAAGAGACCGATTTTATTTTTTTTCCTAGGAATTTCGGATGTTCTAAAATTTGGTATTGTTTTCTTTTTCTTGTTCTCTTTTCCCTTCTTGTGATTGAGTTTTCAATCATTGAGGTTTTGTAAGGAATCAGGAAATAGGTGTAAATTAATTGTCGGGGAGCCATGTTACAACCGGTTTATATACAGAGCAATCACATCCCATAATCTGTGGGATATCACACTAAAAAAGGAAACTAACCAAATCTAACCTAATTCTAGGGAAACTAACTATTATATTTAAACTTTTCTAATTTAGTGTATACACGTGTAAAACACATTCTTCCACACTCCCCCTCAAACTGGTGAATAGGTATTCACCATTCCCAGCTTGGATACAAAACTCTCAAACACTGAACTACTTAACCCCTTGGTGAGTATATCAACAAGTTGGCCATGTGTAGATACATAAGGTGTACAAATCAGTCCACTATCCAACTTTTCTTTGATGAAGTGTCTGTCAATCTCGATGTGCTTCGTTCGATAATGCTGCACCGGGTTGTGAGCTATGTTGATTACAGATTTGTTATCACAATAAAGTTTCATAGGGCCGTCTCACGTAATCTTCAGATCCTCTAGAACAATCTTCAACCATAGTAGTTCACACACACCCTGAGCCATTGCTCGGTACTCTGCCTCAGCACTAGACCGTGCTACCACATTATGTTTCTTACTCCTCCATGTCACCAGGTTTCCACCAAGGAAGGTGCAATAACCTAAAGTTGATCTTCTGTCAACAACTGACCCAACATAGTCAGCATATGTGTATGCCTCAAGAACTAACCCTCCATTCATCTTGAAAAGGATGCCTCTACCCAGTGTCCCTTTGAGATATTGCAAAACTCTATATGCCACCTGCAGATGAACTTCCTTTGGATTGTGCATGAACTGACTGATCACACTCACCGCATACGCTATATCTGGCCGAGTGTGAGAAAGATAAATGAGTCTCCCTTCCAACCGTTGATACATCTCTCTATCCACCATTGCATCTTCTCCTGCCTCTCCAAGCTTGAGATTCAGTTCTATTGGAGTACTCACTAGTTTGCATGCCGTCTTGCCGGTTTCTTTGAGTAGATCTGTAACATACTTCTGTTGAGAGATGAAAATGCCTTGCTTAGAATGAGCCACCTCAATCCCAAGGAAATACTTCAATCTTCCTAACGTCTTGATCTCAAATTCCTTAGCTAAACATTGACTTAGAAGTTGTCTCTCCCTATCATCATCACCTGTCACAATTATGTCATCAACATACACCAATAGGGCTGTAACTTTACCTGAAGGTGAGTGTTTTATGAACAAAGTGTGATCTCCCTGACTCTGCCTATATCCCATTGCTGTCATTACTCTAGCAAACCTCCTAAACCATGCTCGCGGTGATTGCTTAAGTCCATACAAGGACTTTTTTAGTCTACATATTGTACTAGCAGTCAACCCTTTATTATATCCCGGTGGAACTTCCATATAAATTTCTTCCTCCAGTTCTCCATGCAAAAATGCATTCTTGACATTAAACTGCTAAAAATCCCAATCACCATCAGCTGCTAGTGACAATAAAACTCTAACAGTGTTCATCTTTGCAACTGGAGCAAACGTTTCTTGATAATCAATCCCATAGGTTTGAGTATGACCCTTGGCCACCAACCTAGCCTTGTATCTTTCTATTGATCCATCTGCTCTATATTTTACCGTGTAAACCCATTTACACTCTACGGGTTTCTTTCTTTCAGGTAACTTCACTAACTCCCAAGTTTTGTTCTTCTCCAACGCCTCCATCTCCACATTCATGGCTTGCTTCCATTTTTCATTGGTTAAAGCCTCAGATAAATTGGCAGGGATGGCAATGGTGTTTAAGCTAACAAGGAAGGCTCTATGGAATGGTGAAAGGTGTTTAAAGGACAGGAAATGTGCAAGAGGGTATAGGGGTCGGTTTGTGCATTCTCTAACTCCTTTCCTGATAGCAATAGGGAGTAATTATTGTTTATCTCAGATTCAGATTGAAAAGAAGGATTAGAAATTGTTACCTCATTCTCAGGATTTAGGTTGGAGTCTTGGACTTGCACAGATTCAGGGACAACCTTCTTTCTTCTCGAGAACACTTTGCCTTTGCCAAATCTCACACTATCAAGGGCTAGATTTGTAGGTGGGTTTACAGGAGGCTTGGGATTTGGATTTTCAGTGGGCTCGGTGGGAGGAACATTTTCAGTAGGCTCGGTAGAAACATCCATGGGACTAGGCTGCCTTGACACAGGAAGTGGTGAAGATGGCAGATCAAGAACTTATCCTTATCTTCCATTACTGAATTCTCCCCCTGAAGATAAGGAACAGTGAAATAAGATTCTTGTTCATGGAAGGTCACATTAGCTGAGACATAGAACCTTTTTGATGGAGAATGATAGCACTTATACCCCTTTTGAGTTGAAGAATATCCCACAAACACGCATTTTAATGCCCTTGGATCTAATTTTCCCCGGTTCTGACTATGAACATGAACAAATGCCACACACCCAAATATGCGAGGAACAAGATTATTTGTGGTGTGTAGGTTTGGATAGGACTTGGAAAGGGCATCTGAAGAAATCATGAATTTTCTTCTTGAATTGAAACAATAATTTACATCCTAATATATAGGCTAAGGGCTGGCATACCAGACCATCAAAATAGGAAATTGAATTCCTACAAATCAGGAATTCTAAATAAATAATAACTACCCTAGATTACAATCTCCTAACTTGACTACAATTAAATAAAATCTAATCTTTTCTAAATAAGGAAACTAACTAACTAAATCTCCTAACTTAATTTTCCTAACACGTTTCCTTATTTCCACACTCCCCCTCAAGCTGAGTTGTATATGTTATACAAGCCAAGCTTGGAGTTCAACTCATCGAAACTGGCTCTTGGAAGTGCTTTGGTGAGAACATCGGCAATCTGCTATTTTGTAGGAATATAGCTGAGCTGAATGATTCCAGTGTTCACCTTTTCAGAGATAAAATGACGATCAATCTCAATATGTTTTGTCCTATCATGATGCACCGGATTCTTAGCTATACTGACGGCTACCTGACTGTCAGTAAACATCTTCACCGAGGCTTGAACTTCAACCTTGAGTTCTCTTAACAATCTCTGTAACCACATTCCTTCGCATATACCAAGGGCAAGAGCTCAGTATTCCGATTCTGCACTGCTATGGGAAACCACAGCTTGTTTTTTGCTTCTCAAAGTGACTAGATTGCCCCAAACATAAGAGCAGTAGCCAGTAGTTGACCTTCTATCAGTTTGTTCCCCTGCCCAACTTGCATCCGTGTAGATTTCTACTTCACTGTTTTCACTCTTCTTGAAGAGTAAACCATGACCAGGAGTCATCTTCAAGTATCTCAAGATTCTATTCACTGAATCTAAATGATCCTCTGTTGGATTATTCATATGTTGGCTGACCACACTCACCGAATAAGCAATGTCAGGTTGAGTGTGTGAGAGGTAAATAAGCTTGCCAACTAGTCTTTGATACCTTCCCTTGTCAACTGGCGTACTTTCTTCACTTCGATTCATTTTCTTTGTAGAATCCATGGGCGTATCAATAGGTTTGCAGCCAAGAAACCCTGTTTCATTAAGCAAATCTAGGATATAGTTCCTTTGGGATATAACAATTCCCTCTTTTGAACGAGCCACCTCCATTCCGAGAAAGTACTTCAGTGTCCCGAGGTCTTTGATCTCGAATTCAGTTGCCATTACCTTTTTTAGCCTAAGAATTTCTTCTGAATCATCTCCAGTTAGAATGATGTCATCCACATAGACTATGAGAATGGACATTTTTCCTCCTGATCCACTTTTAACAAACAGCGTGTGATCTGCCTAACACTGCACGTACCCATTGTCTGTCAAGGTTCTAGCAAACCTGTCAAACCATGCATGAGGAGACTGCTTCAAGCCATACAATGACTTCTTTAATTTGCACACTAATTTTTTATTTGACCTGTTTTCTAGCCCAGGAGGTATGGTCATGTAGACTTCCTCTTCAAGGTCTCCATTCAAGAATGCGTTCTTGACATCAAGCTGATATAATGGCCAATCTTGATTTACTGCCAAGGAGAGTAACACTCGAACTGTGTTTAGTTTGGCCACCGGTGCGAAAGCCTCTTGATAGTCAATTCCGTAGGATTGGGTGAACCCCTTTGCCACAAGTCTTGCCTTGAACCTGTCTACACTTCCATCAGCCTTGTACTTGATAGTGAAAATCCATTTGCACCCAACAGGATTTTTACTTGGTGGTAATGGTGTCAGGACCCAAGTATTATTGTTCTCTAAGGCCCGAACCTCCTCTTCTACTGCTTTCTTCCATTCCGGCCTCATAAGAGCCTCCTGAATAGATTCAGGCATTTTGACACTATCCAGAATAGTGACAAATGCCTTGTAGGATGGAGACAGTTTTCCATATGCAACATATCTCTGAATTGGATGTTCAGTGCATCCACGGACCCCTTTCCTATGAGCAATCACATCCCATAATCTGTGGGATATCACACTAAAAGAGGAAACTAACCAAATCAACCTAATTCTAGGGAAACTAACTATTATATTCAAACTTTCCTAATTTAGTCTATACATGTGTAAAACACATTCTTCCACAAGTTCTTATTCTGTTCTAACGTGTGGAGACCATTTTCCTTTTTAGGTTTGATGGTTTGGAGTTCAACAATACTTCATTCGTTTGCATAATATTCCTTTTGTCCCTTTATTGCTACTATGTTTGCTACGGCAATGTGTTCCCTAGTCTTTTTAAGATTACACATTTGATCTGATTCTTGTGAATTTATCTGATTGCTAGACCTTTCTGTATACTTCGAATCTGGACGTGGTGATGAACTCTCTTTTCATCTTAAAAATTACATCCAAAACCTCCTTAAGGTATTATAATACAACGTCATTCATTTTGCCATCTTACCTTAATATACCTTTATTTTCTTTATTCCAAATGGATATGGTTAGCTGAATCTTGGTAAGTCTGTAGGTCAATATGGAAGGACCTTATGGGTTTGAGTGGCCAGTGGAAGAAAAGGTAAAGCGCAGGGAAATGGTTGCATGTGAAGCACGTTATATATTTGTGTATGAGGCTTTGAATGCAAATGCATGTAAATCATCCTCTCGATTGGAAAGAAGTTTTACTAATTGTCGGGCAGATAGAAGACCCTTGGTCGGATTTGTACATTATCGATTTGTCATAGAGGAAGAGTTGCCAGTTCTTTACGTTTACGAATTGCAACTGGAGTCTCGTGTGCAAGGGAAGGGACTGGGCAAGTTTCTAATGCAATTAATCGAACTTATTGCTCAAAAGGTGCTCTTATTCTTATGTTTTTATGTTCTTACTTGATAGAAAATAGATACTAGGAGCAGAAGGTTATTGTTTAGGAGCTTGATATGATTATGATTGAAAAAGAGTATCTCAAAATTTTTAGCACTGAATGCACATTGGGTTTTGTATGAGATCACTAGTGTCTGTAGTTTCCTCCTGAGTATGGTTTTATAAATTTTTCCCAATACCAAATTGTGAGGATTATATGCAGATTAGCATCTAGGCATTAAATATTGAGCACTTTTATCTTTTGTAGAACCAAATGGGCGCTGTGCTGTTGACGGTTCAAAAAGCAAACTTGGGTGCTATGAACTTCTACGTGAATAATCTGAGGTAAAACCTTTTTTTTTTTTTTTTTAATGTGTGACAGGGCGGATATATCCTTTTTTTTATTTTTTTATTATTATTTTTTTTTTTTTTGAAGAAGTTCAAGTTAAATGACACTGAGCAGTTCTTTGCATATTATGTCAATGTTTTAGTTTTAGGTTCTGTTTTCGTTTCTCCTCCAACAAATCCTTTATAGTATAACCTACGCATCCCACCCTCAGAAAAATAAGAGAAAGAAAACCTCGTGGCCTGCTCGAAATTTACTTGCTTTTGCATTTTGGTATGCCTTAGTGCCTTTGTAAGGCTCATGTCCTTGTCTGATATTGTTACGTCATTACTTGGCAGTTTCAAATTCTCATTCAAATTTCTTTAACTCAACTTGATATCATGTTTCTTTCAAAAGGCTGAATTTTTTTGTTGTTTCTGCAGATATCTTGTATCAACAATATCACCATCAAGAGTTGATCCATCGGTAAGGGATCAATGGCAATTGGACAGGCAGTGCATGTAAAAATTTGAGAGAGTGCATTTAGATGCTATGAATGAGATTTTTGTGAAATGATTATTGGTTACGTTTTTAAACGGTTTAATTGATTGTGCAGATAGGGATTCAGAAAAGCTATGAAATTCTTTGCAAAACATTTGATCATGAGGCAAATGCCATCTTGGCTGAAGAAAATGTGGGATCGAAATTATCAAACATTTAATTGGTTTGACAAATGGATTTATCTTTATACTGACTCTGAGGTACATGGATTTGCTATGTATAGTTCTACTTCACACCTTTGTTAAGTAAAGTTAATGTTCGGTATGAATTTGCAAAAGACATTACACTCGCAAAATTACTCAAATGAGTACATAGAATTAGGTTTTAATGTTCGGTATCAATTTAGTTTCTGGTGATTTTTTAGTATTACTGGTAGCTCGGTAATCCTACCCTGAAGAACAATCTGTGATATGTTGTTATTGTTACATTTTACACGTGCACTTTTTTTAAGTAGGCCTTATTCATTGCTTGAGTGCCGCTGGGTGGGCCAACTGTTCAAGGTCGAGCCACATTTAATTTTATAAAAAATACTACTATCCTAATTATTATTATAATTATTTATTACAATATCACAATTATATTATATTATAATGATAAATATAATTATAATAATAATTATTAATTATAATATGACGATTATATTGTATATTATATTAATAATAAATATAATTATAATATTAAATATGGTATATTATAATATACGTATATAATTATAATGTATTTTATTATCTGTTTTAAGATACTATTACATTATAATATAAATTATTATAATATAATATTAATTATATTATGGATATTAATATTATAATATTTATAATTATAATATTTAAGAGTAATGATGGAAAAGAAAATTAAAAGAGCTTGGAATGGGCATTCCTCTCATATGAGGGAGGAATGATGATTCACCTATTTGATGGAAAAGTCATTCCATTTTGAATGGTCATTCCTTTTCTTAAAACCAACCAAACATGAGAATGAACCTTGATTCCTTTCCATTTCTTTCCATTCCCCCCAACCAAACATACCCTAAAAGTTTGCAGACACCATTAATCCCTTTTGTCATCAGGAAAAGAAAAAAAAATGTTGCGATTAACGTGGGAGTTTTAGATAGTCAATATTTGGATCCGAGAGTTATTTTAGGGTCCGTTTAGTTTACTTATTCGAGTTTTTAATTCGAGTTGAGATGTGATTTTATATGAGTGCTTTTTACTGTAGTAAAAAAGTTAGATGTGATTGTTTCTGAAAGGTTTTTACTGTAGCAAAACTCAAATCAGCGAAATGAATGAGACCTTAAACTCTACTGAAAAATCAATGCATGTGCATCTCAACAATCTCATGTACCTTCCGTCAAAAAAAAAAAGAAAGAAAAAAACAATATTAGAAACCTCTAATGTTTCTATAAACCGAGCATATATATGTATATATACATTGAAAATATTGTCTCTTCACATGAAGCTGTGTAATATGGCTTGGAGATATGAACTATAGAATCCAGTTACCCGAGGACTTGACGCGTCTTCTAGTAGAAAAACAAGAGTCGAATATTTTGCCGGAAAAGGATGAGGGCCTTAACGAGTTGGGAAGCTTCGGTAGGAAAGTTTTTCTTCTGTGAAAATAAATCTTCTCATAAATCATATATCTCAATTGTTATGCTAACTTATTTCGTTTAAATTCCCATTAAATTTACAAAGCCTAAAGGAGAGCTCAAGGAGGGACATGTATTCTATGGTTGGAGTTAAGGAGGAATAGACTTTGCTCCTACTTACAAGCAGTACAGCTCAGTGAAAATTTTTAAATTTTACACTTAAATTCTCATTAAAATAATATATGCGTCTATTAAAATAAATATATTTTCTTATATGCTCCTACTAAGATAATTTGTTAAAAAAAATTTAGTGTGCGCCCTTACTGAAGTAAAAGACTGACTCCGCCACTGTTTACAAGTACTACACAAATTCAGAATCTTATTTTGGCTGCAATCAGAACGGGCAAAAGTACCCAAAGAGACGTGCGCCAGCATGGTAAGATGATCCATGGATGGTTTTGCAGGTGCGATCGAATAATATGGTTTGGAAAGGGACTGAAGCAAACTCCTTACGGTAGAGGCGAATTCCGATTGTCGGATCATAGACCTGTCTATGCTATTTTTACGTACTTGAGCATAATGAATACACGAAGAGGAAATATTGCCAATTTTGGAGCTGCAATCTTCTTTGCTAGATGGATGTTTAGTAGCTTAGGGCTGCTTTAGTCTTAGCAAAACTTCCATTCTCCCGGCATATCCGCCATTATAACAGATGTCCTCAATGACTTCAAGTACTCCAATCCAACTTTTTAACATCGAAGGAATGTGAGTTTTCATTCTTTCATTGATCAGTGTTTCTGAAATTATTACATTGATTGCTATTAAAAAAATTATCTAAACGAATAAAAGGATAACAACTCAATACCACTATAACAGATATCATAAAGTTGGGATTAAAATTGAAATCCAAGAATTACATTTTCACATATCATTTTAAATGAGCGTAATACCTCACTGCAAGCTTATCTGCAGTCAACAATCTATTGGTACCTTTCTCTTTGCAATAAAATGTTGCATAATCTTGTGGTTCGAAATATTTGTGAATTGGTTTTTCCTGCAGACTTTCCATACCATTTAAAGATGATCAGAGCCAGGTAGCTCAAACAAGCAATTTTCATCTGTCAATTCCTTAGCCATGGGCAAAGAAAATTTTGAAAATACGCAAATTCATTTATACAGCAGCTCAGTTACCTCTTAAACGTTGCACCCTCTAATTGCATTCAAGGATAACTAAATGGATCTACACCCTCGATTATATTGTATATTATATTAATAATAAATATAATTATAATATTAAATATGGTATATTATAATATACGTATATAATTATAATGTATTTTATTATCTGTTTTAAGATACTATTACATTATAATATAAATTATTATAATATAATATTAATTATATTATGGATATTAATATTATAATATTTATAATTATAATATTTAAGAGTAATGATGGAAAAGAAAATTAAAAGAGCTTGGAATGGGCATTCCTCTCATATGAGGGAGGAATGATGATTCACCTATTTGATGGAAAAGTCATTCCATTTTGAATGGTCATTCCTTTTCTTAAAACCAACCAAACATGAGAATGAACCTTGATTCCTTTCCATTTCTTTCCATTCCCCCCAACCAAACATACCCTAAAAGTTTGCAGACACCATTAATCCCTTTTGTCATCAGGAAAAGAAAAAAAAATGTTGCGATTAACGTGGGAGTTTTAGATAGTCAATATTTGGATCCGAGAGTTATTTTAGGGTCCGTTTAGTTTACTTATTCGAGTTTTTAATTCGAGTTGAGATGTGATTTTATATGAGTGCTTTTTACTGTAGTAAAAAAGTTAGATGTGATTGTTTCTGAAAGGTTTTTACTGTAGCAAAACTCAAATCAGCGAAATGAATGAGACCTTAAACTCTACTGAAAAATCAATGCATGTGCATCTCAACAATCTCATGTACCTTCCGTCAAAAAAAAAAAGAAAGAAAAAAACAATATTAGAAACCTCTAATGTTTCTATAAACCGAGCATATATATGTATATATACATTGAAAATATTGTCTCTTCACATGAAGCTGTGTAATATGGCTTGGAGATATGAACTATAGAATCCAGTTACCCGAGGACTTGACGCGTCTTCTAGTAGAAAAACAAGAGTCGAATATTTTGCCGGAAAAGGATGAGGGCCTTAACGAGTTGGGAAGCTTCGGTAGGAAAGTTTTTCTTCTGTGAAAATAAATCTTCTCATAAATCATATATCTCAATTGTTATGCTAACTTATTTCGTTTAAATTCCCATTAAATTTACAAAGCCTAAAGGAGAGCTCAAGGAGGGACATGTATTCTATGGTTGGAGTTAAGGAGGAATAGACTTTGCTCCTACTTACAAGCAGTACAGCTCAGTGAAAATTTTTAAATTTTACACTTAAATTCTCATTAAAATAATATATGCGTCTATTAAAATAAATATATTTTCTTATATGCTCCTACTAAGATAATTTGTTAAAAAAAATTTAGTGTGCGCCCTTACTGAAGTAAAAGACTGACTCCGCCACTGTTTACAAGTACTACACAAATTCAGAATCTTATTTTGGCTGCAATCAGAACGGGCAAAAGTACCCAAAGAGACGTGCGCCAGCATGGTAAGATGATCCATGGATGGTTTTGCAGGTGCGATCGAATAATATGGTTTGGAAAGGGACTGAAGCAAACTCCTTACGGTAGAGGCGAATTCCGATTGTCGGATCATAGACCTGTCTATGCTATTTTTACGTACTTGAGCATAATGAATACACGAAGAGGAAATATTGCCAATTTTGGAGCTGCAATCTTCTTTGCTAGATGGATGTTTAGTAGCTTAGGGCTGCTTTAGTCTTAGCAAAACTTCCATTCTCCCGGCATATCCGCCATTATAACAGATGTCCTCAATGACTTCAAGTACTCCAATCCAACTTTTTAACATCGAAGGAATGTGAGTTTTCATTCTTTCATTGATCAGTGTTTCTGAAATTATTACATTGATTGCTATTAAAAAAATTATCTAAACGAATAAAAGGATAACAACTCAATACCACTATAACAGATATCATAAAGTTGGGATTAAAATTGAAATCCAAGAATTACATTTTCACATATCATTTTAAATGAGCGTAATACCTCACTGCAAGCTTATCTGCAGTCAACAATCTATTGGTACCTTTCTCTTTGCAATAAAATGTTGCATAATCTTGTGGTTCGAAATATTTGTGAATTGGTTTTTCCTGCAGACTTTCCATACCATTTAAAGATGATCAGAGCCAGGTAGCTCAAACAAGCAATTTTCATCTGTCAATTCCTTAGCCATGGGCAAAGAAAATTTTGAAAATACGCAAATTCATTTATACAGCAGCTCAGTTACCTCTTAAACGTTGCACCCTCTAATTGCATTCAAGGATAACTAAATGGATCTACACCCTGCGCATCACAAACTATTGTAAACATAGCCTCCAATAATCTGTCATTTATAGCAAGGATAGATTCAAATTCCATTGTCTGAAAATGTTAGGCCACCTATTGCTTCTGGAAAACATCCCCCATACAGGGAAATGTCTGCTCAAGGATCATCATTCTTTGCAACCATACTTTTTCTCCAATTCGCCTTTTGTTTGATTTGCGTTTCAGAAGAGACAAACTTCTATCACTCAACATTCTAGTATGCTTAAACCAACATATCTGCGTGTATAGGGCTTAAAAATGCAAACTTCTTGTGAGATACAAATATTCCCCCCCCCCTTCAATCATAGATCATAGATTTAATGTGAGTGTTGGGATTCATGGTGATATATCTGATGAGCTGAGCAGACCTAACCACACTGTAGGCTGAGATACTCCGCGTGTTTGGTTCTAACGGGTGAAGGCTGAGACTTTCGGCACCCTTATTATTTTAATAATTATATATTTTATAAATAATATAATATAATATAATATTATTTTATTTTATTTTATAGGATATAGATGTGATGTTTTCATTAATAATATCTTAGTTATAATAATAATATAATATAGTATAGTTGTAACATTATAATATAAAATAATCACAATATCATAATTTTATTATATTATATATTATGATTGTATTATAATAATAAATATATATAACTATAAGTATAATTATATATATGATATCCTTATAATTATATATATATTAGTTATTAAATGATTATATTAATATATATGATATTAGTTATATTAATATGAGGAGTAATTTTATCAACATGAAAATATTCATATCTCATTCCATTGCATTTATAAAAGTAGAACTAAATAAATGAATCATCTTTTCTTTCAATTCTATTATATTATCATTTTTATTTCTGTTTCTATTATCATTCTCTCACTGCAATCAAACAAACGCACCTTACTCCAATGGCCAGGTAATCAAGACGTCCGTGAAATGAAAGGGATCTGGCTCATGCTTTTGTCATCTAGCATCGGGTAGTCTAAAGGCACGTAAGCCCAACCCAAAATTGATGAGTCGGTAAAAGGCATATTTTCAACCTCATAGCGGAAAATTGAAATTGATTCTAGGATGATAGGTGAGGGAGTATTCTTATGTTTGTTATACCACCACCATATATATGTGAGATGCATGTTTTTTAGTAGCAGAAAGTTATGAAAAGTGTTTTATATCCTCTTGTACATTATAATTTATTGCTATAGTATTAAAATAATAAATTTAGATTTCAAGGAAAAATATAATTCCTAGTGGATATCATTTTATGTGTCTTAAAACACGTGTATGGATTTATTTTGCTGAAATATGTATGACATTCTTTTAACTATATAGATTTCACATGCGTAGTGGGTAATTTCTGGCCCGCTTTCAATATGGTGGTCGCAAGTCTAAATTCTCCTCCCCAACCAAACAAAAAGTTAAGCACGAGACATTTTCCTATTCTTCGCAAGAAATATTAAGGGAAAAATAGACAAATATTATTTAGAGCGCACGAATTTAGATTTTTGATTTTACTATTAGTTAATATCATTTTTAGTTAAATAATTATACTAATCAAGGTATACTAATTAAAAGTAAAAAGTAAAAATTTAAACTCATAAACTCTAAGAGTAAGTTCCAATTTTCTCAAATATAATTAACTAGTCAAAACTAATTTTAAATATTCCATGCCTAGTTCTATAAATTTATTGGTCAAAAATGACTAATGGCTTGTTTATTTCACCGGTTTAAACCATAGTTTAATTTTTTTTTACTATAGTATTTTATTTCATATAAAATTTTAATTTTTTTAATTTTCTGTTCAAATCTATGAACTAAACAAGCCACAAATTTTGACAAGCAAGAGAGGCATATGCTAGTTGAACCTCTAGCTCACTTACGAGTCACAAACATTGAGCCTCAATCACAAGTATGCGAATGCGAGCAAGCTCGCTCGCTCATTAGCTGAAACTGGAAAACACGAGTAGAAATTAGTGTGGCTTGAGGAAAATAGACTGCATTCTGCTACTTGGCGGCCTATTTTTCTAGTTTGTCTCACAGTGTTACTGCTAGAACTAGCTTGCGACACTTGTCCCCACGTATCAGGGCGGACTCCGCACCTTAAATGCGTGTTTAGAACCGTTTTTGAAAACGGTTTTCACATAGTAAAAAATGAAAATGAAAACGAAACGACATTTGTTTAACAAATGCTTTGAAAATGAAAATGAAAACGAAAATAGTGAGAATGGTTTTTGTGAAGAAATTAGAAAACAGTTGAAAGTTATTTTTACTTGTCTGTTTTCATTTTTTAGTACTTATCAACAATATTATAATGTATTAATTAATAAACACGATTTCACTTTTTTATTACACTCAAAGCAATCTCTTAAAAAACCAACCAAACGCAATTTCGAAATCGGTCTCAGAATGATTCTGAAGTTTTCATATTCCCCTCCTGAAGTTTTCATATTTGATTTTTAGTACATGTTTTTTTTTAAAACTTTTTCATATATGCTCCCTTTAGAAATAAAAATTTCAAATATATCCTCACAAAATCCAATCTTAAATTATTTTATTTTCTATTGTTCTTTTGATCCTTTCTTATTAAATCTACTGTAAATATACCTAATTGATTTTTTCTCTAATTTATTCTTATGAAAACAGTTTTTCTTTCAAATTATTCCCTTCTAAAATATTTTTAGATATAATCTAAGCTATATAAAAAATGACCCGTTAAAATATTTTTTTCTCAAAATGTGTTCCTAATTAAGAATTTTTTTGTTCAAACAACCCTCTCAATTACGATTTTGTCATACATACCTTCTCTCAAATTATTAAGCCAAAATATTAAATAAAATTCATCTTAAAAAGTTCTCAAAATAATTGACGTATTTATATATTTGATTGAATATTTTTATTTGAACACATTAAATTTTTATTTAATTTTTTTAGTTAATTCATATTTGAACCAACACCTGATACAATACTTGATATAGATTGGGAAGGCTAATTTTAGTATCTTAAAAAATTTAATTGCTTCATGTGGTATTTAGAGTCTAATTTTAAGAACACACGAGATGTTCTAGACATTTGTATAATATGAAGAGCAAAATTGGTATTTAAGCAAAACTAGTGTGTGTTTTGAGTATTTTTCTGTAAAGTAAAATAATATTAATTATTTTAAACCTAATTCAACTAAGGATAGGAAAATTTTATTACTTTTTAATTAATTAGAATTCTTGGAATTCATTGCTCATATGTCAAACGTTCAGATAGCTCTTATGTAGGTTAATTAAAAGATTTAGAATACATAATAATGTATTATAAATTAAAAATAGGATAAAAAGAATTGAAACAGAACTTTCAAATGAAACATAAAAAAAAAATCATAAAATTTATATAATGACTAATGATTTATTTTAAGCCAAGGGATGCAAATTTTAAACAAAAAATGGGCGAGGAGTATTAAATAACACATGAAATCTTTTAAATCAATACATACCAAAATTCTGTAATATATCTTAATTTCTCGTATAGAAAACATTTAATTCATATAATTCATGAGGCTTAACATGACAAGTTATATAGGTAGTGATCCGAACATCATAAGCTTAACATACGACGCCTCTGGATTTGTGACCACCACTGACTGAACCCGCTTCCATTGGCTAACCCTAACTTAGCGCAATTCATATAGTGATTAGGATTTTGTTTAATTTTTTATTTAAACTAAAATTTTTAATTTTTTCTTTTTTTAGGTATTTTGTTGGGATTCAGGACTTCAAAATGCAGGGCGTAACCTCTGAAAAAAAGTAAAATACACAAATAAAAAGGTTAATGACACTACTTCTAAGTATCATTGAAAGCAATGAATGGGATTATGACGCTTACATAACCAGCTGCTTAGTCCGCAAGGGAGGATCCTAAACACTTTTTCCTATTTTATGACGCTTACATAAAACTCCAAGTACTTTGTTTCAATCAATTAAAAATCAATTAAGATATTTGTTTCCGCTGCAAAGCGCTCCCCAAACGCTTTTTCCTACCTAACTATAGAGCCTATTATTGAACCATTCAATTACATCCTGCATAATACTTTCTCGTTCTGGCTCAAAAAGCAGATCATGTAATAATCCGTCAAACAACTTGATTGTTTTGTCAGTTGACAAAGCCTCTTCATACAGTTTTTGAGAGGCTTCAGGATCCGTAACAGTATCTGCACTACCATGGAGAACCAGAAATGGGACTCTCAGTTTTGTAAGATTCTTCTGCAAATAAGAAGTAATTCTAAGAATCTCATAACCGGTCCTCGCTCTGATGGACCCTGTGTACACTAGAGGGTCTGAGTACTTCGCAAGTAAAGCCTCCGGGTCGCGAGAAACCTGCACGCCCTTTTTGTTTGCTGCACTAACTTGGTATCTTGGTAGCAAAAATGAGACAATTGGAGCAAGAACCTAGCATGGTGAAATGTAAACTCATTTTAGTGTTGTTCTTCCTTTCATGCATTGGTTGGACACTCAAAACAGGCGATTGTAGATGTGGTATAAAAGACTATTCTCACCACGAAAATTGGATGGGATGGCTGTACTCCAACTGCGGGGGATGTCAGCGCGACACCGGCTACACGGGCTTCAACTTTCGGGTCAAGCATGGCCTAAAAACGTTGATGAAAAATAACACACGTTGGCACTTTAGATATTAATTATCCACGAATGGTTAACACCTAAAAGGTACTGCTAAATAATTTTTGTACAGGGCTATAAACCTTACCTTAAGGATTATGGCTCCACCCGTGGAGTGTCCAAAGCAGAAACAAGGAAGTCCGGGATTGTCAGCTAATACCTTCTCAAGAAATGATTTCTGCATAAAACAAGTTAAGACATTATAAGTGGAATCATAAAACCCTTGAGATTCTTTTGCTTCATAAAACAAATTAGAAATTAATAAGTAGAACTATAAAAACAAAGGATGCTTTTGCTTTCCTTTTTTTCTTCTTCATTTTTATTTATTTATTTAAATTCTAGTTGTTGAACCTCGAGTACATACCATATCTGCAACAGCATAATCTAGAGAATGAACATATGCATGGAGACCATCGCTCCCACCATGGCCTATACGACAACAATAAAAGATGCTGATGAGAACTTATTGCAAATAAAATGTAATCAAGTAGAACTAAAAAAAAAAAAAAAATTATAGTGGCGAAGAAGGCTGAAACCTGAAAGAAAAACTTGGAAGCATCTTAGAGCTTGTTATTTTCTAAAGAACTTTTAAGTTTAAATTATATATTTGAGCTCCCACTAAAATCTCTGCACGACAATGGCTCTTTCTAAAAACGAAAACTACTTACTACACTACAAAGAATCCAAATCAGATTATGCAACAGAAGTACAGTTGTAAACGATCATGTTCATGATCCCTTGTACACAGTTAAAAGTGACCATTAAGATTAATGGGTAAAATGGCTAACGATCACTAATTTATTTTGTAACTCCTCGTGTCATCTGACAAGGAAAAAATAAATTTTGGCTCACTCAAAAAGTTAAATTCACGAGAAGTAAATAAAATTGATACCCAACTCAGTATGAGAGTTTAAATGGAATATATCTAGCATTATGATCAATAAGTTTACTAGGACTGTCTTTGTAGCACCCTCAATCAGGCACAGAGACATTAAGTTTTTCAAATGGTTTCTAGACATACCAATCCAATCGATTCCATAAACCTTATACCCGTTGGCATTCAGCCGCTTCGCAAAATCACTGTATCTACCACTGCAAAGAATATAGAAATGTTCAAAACACTATATCACCGAATTCAATTAACTAGAAACATACTTCCAAGCAGAGGATTCGAACAACTGACATACCTGTGTTCATTCAGGCCATGCAAAAGAACAACAAGGCCCCTGTAAAGTCGAGAAAATATATTGAGTATTTTAGTATAAGAATGTTGAGAATCAATACGTGTGTGTATATTCATTAATAGTACAGAATTCCAAAGAATTCAGATCATAGAAATTGCATGCGCTCAACGTGCAAAATAGATGCAGCATTGCAAATATATTAGGAAAAGCTTCATTAGTGAGTACACAAAATTTGTGGGTGCAGGACCATAAGCCATTTGTTCTGCGTGGTCCATAGTAATTATGGAAACTCAATGAGAACACCAGGCTCCTAGGTCTAGACCACATTAAATTTTGCATGCCATATGTCCTTCAATACTTTGCAACTTACATAAAGAAAAAAAAAAGGCAGAACGGAACTGAAGAGTAAAAATTACAGGGTAATACAGAAGCAGATCAGTGACTTAAACATTGTGAAAAATTAACTGTTATAATAATATATATATATATAAAATAATAATAAAAAAAAAAGCTAAAGGTGATTGCCGACTGGCTCTTATCAAAGGTTCCAAAACTTAAGCGCACATGATTTTAAGCCTATGCTATACTGGGTAAACAAGAGAAGAAACATACATTATTTTCTTTTGAAAGAGAGAAGACATTATATCAACTATACTAATTTGAGCATAAGGCCCGTGAAAGTTGCAGACAGACTAGATCAGATGTGAACAAATTATTTTAGCATCGACATTTTGCCTTAAACTTGACAAACACAAACCAGAAAGTGCACGTATTATAAAACTCTACAAAGCAAGCATTTGCATGTCTTATGAATGTAGTTTCAAGCCAAAGATATGACTATTATTTCTCTGTGCTAGTTCATTAGAAAAATGTTTTAGAGACTTTATTTATTTTTGTTTTATCTGTTTCCTCCTATGATTTCAAAGAAAACAGTTAAGACAACAGACTTGGTTGAGAATATATCTACAAATATCAATCTTATGTATGATAATGTTCCATAATTCGCCAAACGAAATGGTTTGAAGCAAAAGAATCAAAACTACACTGCCAAAAGCGGCATAAACTGAAGCAAAAATACTCACCTTGCAATTTACGTGTTGATTGGTACTTTTTTTATTCTTTACTTGAAAATTTTGTAGTTTTGTTCTGGACATTTATAACACTTCCTAAAGCAGAGACAATTGTCCATGAGCTGATGCCCACAAACTGTGTACTATAAATCCTAGAATCCATCAATCAAATTGTAAAGAAAAAAAATGTACTTGATTCGATAGAAGTGCATTTAAACGGAGACAAAAAAAAAAAAGGACAAGGAGAGAAGGGACCACAAAAAAAAAATAAATAAATAAATTGTTGGAAATAAAAATAAACAGACACAACAAAAAGAAGAAATGGATAGCTTTACTCGGGCATTGCAATTCTTGGGGCACGGCCCTGCAGTAGGGAACTTACAGTGGGGACCTGCTTAAGAGTCAGTATATTATTCCCTTGGGATAAAGATATGCTAAAAAATTGCAAAATGTCACAGGAATGATCAAATAAGAATACGGTCATTTTACTTTACGAATTTGAATTTTTAATTTAAGTTAAGATGTGATATTTTTTAAAAGTTTTTAATTGTAGTAAAAAAAAGTTAAATATAACATTTTTTAAGAGTTTTTAATTATAAAAATCAGTAACTAAAATTAAAATCGGTGAAATGAAGGAGGCCTACGTGTCTTTTATGTACTCATTTCATGCAAAGCTGCAAGTTCCATCACGCAAACAATGTGAAGACATGTCACGCAGTTTGATAATACATATCCCTTCTAAACTCAACTTCATTTAAAATGCAAAGTCAATAAGATATAATCTGCTTCAAAAAAAAAAAAAAAAAAAAAGTCAATAAAATCAATACAAACAAGGAGCATATACTCAGTCTGATCATTCCCACGATATCCTGACAACGGAACTGACAGGTCCCCCACAATGATTTTCATCAAATGATATATTTGATTTTGAAATACATATTCTAATCAAATACTAAAAAGCCGAAACCACATTTGTTTTTCCTGCTAAAAGGATTACTGTCATCCCATTCTTAATTCCTTTTATACAGAAAATTAAAGGTCCAAGACGTAACCAATTTTACACAAAAGATGGATAAGTTCTGCTCCCATCAGACCACAAAATCCACCGCCATACAGTTGATCGGACATGAACCTTAAAAAAGAGACTACAAAGTAGATAAAAATAAATAAAAATAAAAAAAATATTGCCATTGCTGCCTCGCTTAGCCTAAAGTATTGCTTTTTGTTTGGTGGTGGGGATTAAAAGTAACGAATATGCCAGTTTATCATGAGTTGGAAATGACAATATTCTTCGAACTACATTCGACTAGGACACCGATTATCTAACAAAGAACCTAATAATAAACCAAAAAATAGAGAATAAAAAAAGGGGAACGATCAATTTAATTAAAAAGATTTTCTGATATATATGATCTCCTAGAAAATTCAAAAGCATTTTCAACGAAAAAGATTAATTGAAAAGAAAAAATACCTAGTTTCAATGGCAGCAGGAGTCCAGGACTGCGTAAAAATGTTATCACCTCTCGCCGTAACAAAAACCTCGAAATCCCTAACCGAACTCTCACCCTTATCCTGAAGAACCCGCCTTACCGCCATCGACCTCCTCGCCGCCACCTCCTGATCCGCCGCCACAGCCGCCGCCGCCGCCCTCCTCGATGGCACGATCGCCGCCGGCACGCGCACCACAGCTCCTTTCCTCACCTCTTGTTTCTCGACCTTCTCCCCCGACGACGACGACGAAGAGGAAGACATCGTTCGCCTCCGGCCACGGAACGGCAGAAGCAATAGCAAAACGACGGCGTTTATCAGCATCAACAGGCTCCGCAGCGCTTGTAATGAGAAGATCGCTCTAATCCTCCCGCTCGCTCCCGACGTCAGAATCAGCGTCGCCGGCTGTCCAGACATTGTCGACGACATCAACTCTGCCGCCATTGTTTGGTTTTCTCAGACGATTTATATTAAATTCTCAACCGAGTTCAGTATTTCCGAGAATTTATGTTTTCCTCGGACCCTCGAAAAATGGTTTCTTTGCTAAAATTAGTTGCTTCTTCGTTGTCAAATATAGAGAAGCCAGAAACAAATGAGATGATATCGCAAAACTTTGTTCGAAGATTCTTTTGTGAACAAGAAAGAAAATGAAACTTTGTTCTAAGTATTTTTCTCTTTTAAGTCACCACTTTCGCTTTCGCTATCGCTTTCCAAGGTTTTAGTATACAATTTGGAAAATGGGACTCCATTTAAGCTGATAACAACGTTTTGTTTCTTTTTCTTTTTTTTTTTTTCTTTTTTTTTTTTTAATTTCCTATCGAAAAGACAAACAAACTCATGGGAACCTCAGGCTCAAGGATCGCGTAAGTTCGGTATGGTAACATATTTGGTGGAGGTCGATAGGCTTGAAACGTGTGCATTCGAATCATTGAAAAGTTCAGTTGTCAGGACACGCGTCGTGTTGTTATATTGCCGCGTCATCATATGCGGCGACATAACGTCCAGTAAATCGGAAAAGTCGTACCATTTAAGTGACGGGTCGGATTTTTTTTTTTTTTTTTAAATCGGTTTAAGGTTCAATGGTGTGGTGTGTTGGATTTTATTATACATGATGTGACCAATTTTGCACTGTTTATCTATATATACAGTTAGTTGAAAGCCTGTGTATTTTTTTTGGACAAATAGATTTGAAGGCTGCGTTTGAAGTTAGATTTTGTTTTTATTTTCAGGTTTTTTGAGAAAAAAAAATGAAAACATAAAAAAATGGTATTTGACACAATTAAAGATAAAAAATAGAAATGAAAATGATTTTTTAATTTAGTGTAAAATAAAAGAGAAATGAAAAACGACTTTAGTTGTATTTCATTTTTTATTTCCGTTTTCTTCTCTCTTGAGCAAAGAGAGAGACATTAATATATTTTTTTATACTGAAAACAATCTCTTAATAAAACTACTAAACGCATTTTTAAAAATGATTTATGTCTGAAATTGAAAACATTTTTATTTTTATTTTTATATAAAAAATAAATTATTTTGGAACGAGTTCTAAATTATTTTGGAACAAAATTTCTTAAATTTTTTTTTATTGACTTATTATTCCTATACAAGTTTAGTTTAGTACATGAAAAATAAAAAATTTAAGTTGAGCATGAAAATAAAGTTTTAGTTAGGGCTGTAAGAAATTATCCCGAACCCAACGAACCCAGCCGAGCCGAGCCGACTCTACTCAAAAATTACGGGTTTCCAATTTTTTATTTAATTTTTAGTTTTAATTATGCCCAACCCGCACTGTGCGGGTAGGGGCGCGGGGTGGGGTTCCATGTGCTGGTCTCCGAATCGAATTCGGATGCGGAAGCGTGGTGGTGCGGGGGAGAGGCGGATCGTGTATAACAAAAATTTTCATAAAACTTTTGAGATACTCTATAGATTATATTAATTTATGCACGAATAAATTAATCTCATTAACTTATATATATCAAGAACTCAATCAGGAAAAATACCTGGAAGCCGACTTGGATGATAACTTGAATTCTTTGACCACGAACAGTCCTTGCTCCAATCTTTGTGTTTAGAAAACCAATGTCTTCCATATCAATTCTTAGAATCCACGAAGACGTGTGTGTGGGCACACATGAGACAAAACGGGTTACAATAAACACTCGAATTTTCGCAAACGCCATCACATGCACGATGTGGAATTTTTGGAGAAAAAATTTTTCCTTCCTTTCTCTCTTGAGAATTTCGGCCAGCCTTAACACTTAGGGCAGAAAAATTGTTTCCTTCTTTCTATAGAGAAATTTCGACTACCTCTAAAATTAGGGCATAAAACCATTCCAAAAATTGTCTCAAAAATAGTATTTATAGAGTAGAAGGAATCCAATCTCTATCTCTAAGATAAAGCTTGTTAATTATCTCCTATTTGAATTTTAAACAAAATCTCCTCTTTTCCTCTATCCTATATGGCCGGCCATGCTAGGGATTCCTATCCCTGTGTGTGGCGCCAATACTGGATAGGGAAGGAAGAGAAAATCATCCTTTATCCTGTAGTCCAATTTGGACTCAAATTCAAATTCCAATTTAAGTCAAACTTAAATTAATTTGAATTCTAAATTAAACAACTTATCAAATAAGTTTAAATGGATAAATCTAGATGTGTTCAAATTCAAATTTAAAAAATCACATTATTTAAATAATAATTAATTCTCAATTAATTATTTTCGAGTATTTAATTTATAGAATTCCTTAATTCTAAAATTTCCCATTTTACCCTCTGTGTCTGGTAGAATTACTAGGACGACGCGAGGACTAATGGACCTATAATCCCGAGCTCCAATAAAATTAATAATCAATTAAACACTTTAATTAATTAATTAATTCTATTAATTCCAATAGTTACTCCACTATAAACTTGGAATTGCACTCTCGAAATTATAGACATAAATTACTTCTAAACTGTGAAGTG